AGCCAGTCAGTCAGTCAGTCAGTCAGTCAGTTGGCCAGTAAGTTGGCCAGTCCGTCAGTCGGACTATCAGTCAGTCGGCCAGTCAGTAAGTAAGTCAGTTGGACAGTCAGTTGGCCAGTCAGTCAGTCAGTCACTGGGCCAGTCACTCTTTCAGTCAGTCGGGTCCTTATATCAAGAAAGACACTGTTTTCCATGACATCTTTGTTAGCCCAATCATCTGCTGTGTCACATCATATTGATAGTACTGAATATACTCTTTTTTTTTATATATTCCGGCATCTCTGTCATTGTATTGCATCATGTCTTGTGTATTTATTGGTCTATATCCAATACTGTGTGTCATATCAAAGTGTTGTGTCCAGTCATGCCTAAAGAGTTTATAACTCTATCATGCAACCATGTTATTTGTTACTGTTTTCTCTGATGTTTATTCTACAAGTCTGGGCTTAAATTTGTTGCACCAGCGTAGGAAGCACAGATTATATAGTGATAAAAATGCTCCCATTTCACAACTAATATCTGGCACTAATTCCCTAAGTTAATGCCAGGTGCATGTGAGCAGAGTTGCTCATTGGTTCTCTCCTGTGCTTTGAGAGATTTCTTCGGGGTTCTGAAGTGTATTACAGCTATATGATGTGTGTTAATTCAACCTACTCAATGCTATTAGATTAAAACTAAAAAAAATAGTGTTCCCTTTTGGTAATCTGAAGTAAGTGTGCATGGAAAAATAATATTAAGTTGACAGATATAATCAATAACATCAGAGCTTGAAATAACGGCAGTCAGTCGTCAGTCATAATGTTATACCACGTTTCTGACTTTACTGGTCAAAATGATCTGTAAGGCAAAGATTTGACTGGACAAGTTCCAAATCTATCTGGATATATATAACTGGCTGTTATTTCAAGCCCTGAACATCAGGGCCCAGTTGTACGAAGCCTGAATAGCACTATCCAGCAGATAAATCCTTATCCAGTGGATAAGTTGATGCTGTTTTCCAATAAATTTATCCACTGGATAAGTAATGATGAAAAGGTAAATTATACACCGTGAAAAGATGAAAAAACTTACTGACGTTTCAGACGCTAGTCCTTCGTCGGAGTAAAAGAGAAA